GAGAGGTGGTCGCAATACAAAACAAAATCACAAAGCGTGAACTAGAGCTTGTTGGGAACGAAGAAGGCATATATAGGCAGAAGCCTGCTGTGGATTTTAAGAGTTTGTTCTGATAACGTTTAACAGCAGAAGCAGAGCTATGTATGTGTAAGAAACTGCAGAGCAATCATGGTAGTGAGAACAAGAAAAGACCCCGTGACTAAAAAGCTAGAAAAGACCGGTTTGAACTAACACTAAACATGTACTGATGGGGGAGGAGAGTTAACATGGAAGTGAGAGACTACTGCACATATATGAGAAAAGATAAAAAATTATAAGTAAGTTTGTGTAACAAAGGGAGGTTGAAGCTGTATTGTCTGATGCTGGAAGTGACTGCAGTCCTCCTAATGAGCTTCCAACTTGTAAGTAGTTGATCACAACTTGCTGAGTGTTTTGCCTTAATAAATCTTTGTTAGACCCATCTGCTGAGTACTAATAGATGCCTTTCCTACCTAATGCACACCCCTTCTGCTGGGCATTCATGGACCCCAGAGTGAAATGATGTAGTGGCCATAGTCCAGTTCCAATGGACAAACTTCCTAAGCGGTTGTCAGGGAAAGTGTAAATACATAAGACATTTCTGCCTCTTCAGCTATCCACCCCAAGTACAATCAGGCCCCTGACCCGCGAGCCTCCCCGGCCACCCCCTATTCATTATCTGAGCCAGCTGTGTGATATGCAGCTGGCCCACCTCTGAACTGTGCCTTGGAATAGCTGTCAAGGCTTGTGCTCCACACCCTTCACTTCCTCAGCCTTGTGTCCTGCCCCAGCACTAAGTGGTGGGACCTCCTATCCCTTGTGGAGGGTGAGGAGCTTTGGTGGGCAAGTGTATATTTCACTCTGGTCCCACGGCCCACCAGGGATATTAGTTGGCCGCTTCTTCACAGAGCCATGAGCATGGGTGTGAGCGCTGTCCGGGATTCTCTGTTAGGCTTACTGGCCTGTAATTGCCAGGATCACCTCTAGAGCCTTTATTTAACAAAAAATAAATAAAGTCAGTGTTATATAGCTATCCTCCAGTCTTCTGGTACAGAGGCTGATTTAAGGGATAGGTGGTATGGACTGGGGTGTAGGTGGTCTGGCCTAGCAGAGCAGGAGTGAAGTGTAGCGGGTGGAGCAGGCATCCAGGTTGGGGAATGAAGCCAAGGGTCATCACCAGTCAACTACCAGTTACCAGAGTCAGGGGTGAAGCCAGAGTCAAAACTATGAATCTAAGCTGAAGGTCAGAGCCAAGGTCGGATGCCAAATTCCAGAGCCAGGATCAGAAGTCAGAGGATGGGGTCAAAGGCAGGACGGGTCACTGAGGATTGGAGGTCAGGCATAAGGCCAGGAGGAGAGACCAGGATCAAGCACAGAGCAGGAGCGTGGTGGGAATAAGAGCGAAGCCAGGGGTAAGGCAGGAACCAGGAGCAGGGATGGGGGCAGGAGGCAGACACAAGCCGTGTCCAATGCAGTCACAATAGGAAACCACCTTGTTGCTCAGACAAATGTCCCGTTCCGCCTCCTGGCTTAAATAGCGTAGTAGGACAATCAGCAGAGCCGGGCAGTACTCCAGTCAGAGTGATTGTGGGTGTTTCATATAACCCCAGTAGCTTTTCAGCCCACTTGAGTTCAACAGCTATTGGGTGGAAGCCAGGATGTGGCAGCTGTTGGGGGATGTGTAGGCCTGAGTTCAAGTCCTGGGACATCATAATAGGTTATGTACCACAGTTAGTAGTTCTGGGATTTCATATTTGACTTCATCTTGGGTGGATCGCATCTGGTCCTGGGGACTTAGTACGGTTTACTTTATCAATTTGTTCCAAAAACTCCTCTATTGACATCTCAATCTGGGACAGTTCCTCAGATTTCTCACCTAACAAGCTTGGCTCAGGTGTGGGAATCTCCCTCACCTCCTCAGCTGTGAAGACCAATATAAAGAATTCATTTAGCTTCTCCACAATGACCTTGTCTTCCTTGGGTGCTCCGTTAGCACCCCGATGGTCCAGTGGCACCATTGATTGTTTGGCAGCCTTCCTACTTCTAAAACACTTTTTGCCGTTAGTTTTTTGCTTGTTAGCCTTCATATTCATTTTTGGCCTGCCTACTTATACTTTTACACTTGACTTGCCAGAGTTTGTTCCTTTCTATTTTCCTCAGAAGGATTTGAGTTCCAATTTTTAAAGCATGCCGTTTGGCCTCTAAGCACCCTTTTTACTCTGCTGTTTAGCAGTGGTCACGTTTTTCCATTTTTTTTTTTATTATTTGGGGTATACATTTAGTTTGGGCCTCTTACAGTGTTTTAAATAGTTTCCATGCAGCTTGCAGGCATTTCACTCTTGTGGCTGTTCCTTTTTATGTCCATTTAACTAGTCTCCTCTTTTTTTTGTGTAGCTCCCCTTTTTGAAGTTAAATGCTATTGTAGTGGGTTTCTTTGGTATTCCCCCCCAACAAGGTTGTTAAACTTAATTACATCATGGTTTCTATCACTGAGCCATCATGCTATGTTCATCTCTTGGACCAGATACCGTGCGCCACTTAGGACTAAATCAAGCATTGCCTCTCCCTTTGTGGGTTCCAGGACTAGCTGCTCCATGAAGTTTTTTCCCAATTTTTTTCTTCTCTGCCACCTCCACCCATTTGGTTCTGATCTTCCCCGCCTCAAATTACAGTTTTGGGCTTCCTGTCTAGGATGTACCTTTTTATTTCCTCAGGAACACCCTCTAAGAACTGCTCCATTTGTATTAGGAGAGACAAATCTTCCAGAGACTTAACAGTCGCTCCTGATATCCAGGCATTCCAATTTTTTACAATGTGGTAGGCGTGTCAGGAAAATGCCATGTCTGGTTTCCACCTTAGGGCTCTGAACCACCGACAGGCATGCTGGGGTGTTAGTCCCATCCTAATTTTGGCCTTGTGTTTAAAAAGTTCATATAGGTGAACCAGATTCATCTCCAGGTCAGTGTTCAGTTGAGACTTAGGGGCCTTGTTATGTGCTGGCACCTGGTCTGTCGGCATCACAGAGGCCACTGTCTCTGAATCATCCTCCTGGTTCCTGACAATTATAAGGTGTACCAGGAACTTATGAAAAGGGCAGCCTAGGTGCATAGGTAGAATTGGTTAATGACAATCCATATAAATTATTTCATATTTGACATATGGCTGGGCCTGCCAGAGTGGTTTTGCTTATTCATGAGGCCATCTGGGAGCTTACCATGATCAGAAAAGAGGTACCATATTCCTTCTTAGGGATGTGAGTATTTTTACTCACCCCCAACCTCAGGATCTTTGGCCTTCATTATGCTTAACCATCAATTCCACTGATTCCAAGAACTTTAATGAAGCTCAGACAAGACTCAACTTCTATGATTCTCACTGCACCAGCATGGCACAGACAAAACTGCTTTCCAGAACCGGTCAGGCTGTCGATATGACCAGCAGTCCCCCTTCCTCTTCTTCCCAACTTGATACTGCAGAACGGCATCTTCATCATCCTCACCAGGTTGGTCAGTGCAGGGACAGAGGGGAGAGCGCCCTCTGCTAGGACCCCTGTTTCCTGCAGCACAGCGCCCCCACTCACTGCCACTCTCCAGCCCCATCCATCGCTGTCTCTCTCCTTCTTTCCATCCTTTGCCTCCCCCAGCCTCGAGGAGTCAGCCAGTACATCAGCTTGTCCACCGAGGAGGCAGGGGCAAGTGTGCCAGTGACACATCAGTACGAGGTGAGGCTGGGAGGAGAGAGCCAAGACTCCTGGCTTCTATCCCCAGACCTGGCAGGGGAGTGGGCTCTGAGGGTTAGAGCAGGTGCCGGGGATCAGAGATCCTGGGTTCTCTTCCTGCAGTGCCCTATGGTGAGTCTGTTTCTTCCCCCCCGCCAAAGTTCAAGAACCTGCGGGAGCGAAGCATCCCCATCTCAGTCACATTCCAGTTTCCCGTGGAGCTGAGCGGGGTCCGGGTGTGGGACACCTCTGAAGTCGTCACCTCCAAGGTACCTGCCTCTCCATGGCCGTGTGTGTGTGTGATGGGCCCAGTGATGCTTGCTCTGCCCTACAGTGCCCCCTGCTGGGACAGGCTGCTTGGGGGGGGGGGGGAGGGGAGGAAGACCCCTTCCCAGTGGTGAAAGTCAAATTATTTTTTCCCGGTATGGGGGGTGGGGCGGAGTCACACTAGCTAAGGGGTGGAGGCACGTCACCTCCCCACATGACCCTCCCTCCGACTCCACCCCACCCTCAGCCCAGGACCTCTGCGCTCTTCCCATCCCTCGTTACCTGGGGGGAGAGGGGGCTGGGAGCTGTACAGCAGCCGGAGGAGTTGCCGGCATCTGCTCCTTTCCCCACTGCCCCTCCCAGCCCCCTATACTTCCAGGAGCTGCATCTCCTCCAGCAGGGCTACCGCTGTATGGGCCGACCAGAGGAGGCTCAGTTCTGTGGAGGGGCTGGGGGCGGTACGGTGTCTCTCGTATGCCGTACTGGCTATAACTAGCTTGCTGGTACAGTGGACCGGACCAGCTTTTTTCTTATCAGTACATCATAGCGGCCCCTACTGGCTTACATTCACCTCTGCCCCTTCCCCAGCCCCGAGCCAGCAAGTCTCCTGCCCAGGGCCAGATTGGTGCTGAGGCCCCCTAGAGGGGTGTGACGGGTTGGATCATAGACACCCTCTTGGGAGCTGCTACCTGATGTGCCAAGACTACTTCTATCCCTCTGCTTTCCCTGCCAGCTCGGGGCCCCAGCACCCTGTCTTGCTGAGCCAGACACGCCCGTCTGCTCCAACGTAGACCCAGGGTCTGAACCAAGTGCCCAAAAGCTGCAGACTTAACTGAAAACAGCTCATAGAAGTGTGCTTTTCTCTAACACTCAGATGCCCAACTCCCAATGGGGTCTAAACCCAAATGAATCCATTTTACGCATAAATTGTTCACCCTCTATAACACTGATAGAGAGAGATGCATGGCTGTTTGCTCCCGCAGGTATTAATACATACTGAGTTCATTAATAAGTAAAAAGTGATTTTATTAAATGCAGAAAGTAGGATTTAAGTGATTCCAAGTAGTAACAGACAGAACAAAGTAAGTCACCAAGCAAAATAAAATAAAATGTGCAAATCTATGTCTAATCGAACTGAATACAGATAAGATCCTCACCAGTTCCCGAATGCTCCCTTTTACAGACTAATCTCCTTTTAGCCTGGGTCCAGCAATCACTCACACCTCTTGCACACTGTCCTTTGTTCCAGTTTCTTTCAAGTATCCTGGGGGGTGGAAAGGCTCTCTCTTTAGACAGCTGAAGACAAAATGGAGGGGTCTTCCAGGGGTAACTCCCTGCTCTCCATGTGTCAGTATATAATGCCTGCATCTGTAACTTTCACTCTATGCCTCTGAAGAAGTGAGGTTTTTACCCACGAAAGCTTATGCCCAAATAAATCTGTTTAGTCTTTAAGGTGCCACCAGACTCCCAGTTCCAAGATGGAGTTTAGGAGTCACCTGGGCAAGTCACATGTCAATGCATGACTCACTGTCTTTACAGGCAGGAGCCCTTGCCCACATGGTATCTTGACTGTCTCCAGAAGATTTCTTATGTGGATTGGAGCATTCCAAGATTCATTGTCCTTTAAGTGTCTCTTGATTAGGTACTTAATTTCAACATTCCTTTCTCCAGGAACTGACCAAATGCTCTATTAAGGTTATTTAGAAATCAAGCCAGTACACAGCCAATATTCATAACTTCTAATACAAAAATGATACATGCATACAAATAGGATTAATACATTCAGTAGATCATAACCTTTGAGATATTACATGGCATATGTAGCATAAAACACATTCTAAGCATATTTCCATAAAGCCTTATGGGAGATACCGTCACAAGGGGGAAGGCCCCATGTCCCATTCCTGCCCCCATTAACACCGTGTGTCTCTCCCTCCCCAGCCCCAGCTGGCTCAGTGCATCAGTGAGGCTGAAACGCCCGGTTCAAAGGCCTTTGTGAAGCAGATGAGCGAGTGCCCCCTGCTGGTGAGTACAGGCTGGGGTGGATCCCAGCAGCCCCTTCCCCTCCTCACTAACACAGACAGTGAGTGGGGGGCTGGGCTGGAGGAGGGACCCCTGCTATAGACAGACCCAGACCCTCATGGCCATGCTGAGCTCCTGCACACCCCCTGCCTCACCCGGCGATATCCTTCCACCCCCAGGACTGCTCCATGGCCACCTGTAAGAAGATCCAGTGCAAAATCACCTCCCTGGAAATGCAGCAGCCACTGGAGTTCATGATCAAAGGGAACGTCAGCTTCCAGTGGGTCTCCCAGGTACAAGAGCTGCCTCTGCCCCCCGGCCCCAGGCGAAAGATCCCCCCATGTGAACAGCCCCTGAGCCCCTCCCCAGAGGTGGCTGCAACTCAGTGCTGGGCAAGGGATCCCTCTCTGAACGGCCTGTAAATTGCTCTGGGTCCCTCTGGGCTGACGCTCTGGGCTGGTTTGTGTCATTTCCAGTCAGGGACGGTGAATTTCTCTGTTCCAGACTCAGCAGCAGAAAGTGAGTCTGGTGAGTGAGGCCCGGATTGAATACGAGGAGGAGAAATACACCCAGAAGGAGGGATTCGTCCAGCGCCAGGTACCAGAGTGACAGTGCCCGGGATAGAGAGAGCATCGGCCAGTGGTTAGAGCTGGGAGCCAGGACTCCTGGGTCCTGTCCCTGCTCTGGGAGGAAGTGGAGTCTGGGGATTTAGAGCAGGGGAGGGTGATAGTGCCTGGACTCCTGGGTCCCCATCTCACAGCTCCTCTCCCCCAGGTGCAGACTGTGGTGGAGCGCTCTGAGGCCTATAACTACCTGCCCATCATTGTGGGCAGCAGTGTGGGGGGTCTGGTCCTGCTGGCTCTCATCACCGCAGCTCTCTACAAGGTGAGTGGGGCAGGGCTTGGATCTCTCCCCCACAGCCCATCACCCTGGGGGCGGGGCCTGTGGCTCTCCCAGCTGGTGGAGAAGGAGCAAGGGTCTTTCCTTTCTAGGTTTCCACAGCCTGTCCCTCCCGCTCCTCAGCCATGAGCCTGTGTCTGTCTGGCTCTCACCATTTTCCCCCCTCTGTCTCCTTCCAGCTCATCTTCTTCAAGCACCAGTACAAGCAGATGATGGAGGACACTGTGGAGGGCGAGGGGCCTCGCCTGACCCAGAGCACGCTGCTGGCAATCCCTGTTTCCAATACCCCCAAACAATAGCCCCCCATGCACTCCCCTAGATGGGTCACAGAACCCCCAAATTTTAATTGCTGAAGCTGGGCACCCTCACTCTGCCACCCTCCTTGTCCCCCTTCCCCACCGGCACGAGTTGCCAATGTTGCCGCCCCCCCCCCAGCTTTGCCTCCCTCTGGGTTGCTCCAGATCCACCCCACCCCCATTATGTTGCCACCTCTAAGATGAAGAAAAATTGGTCACTGGCCCCCTCCCACCAACAAAAGAGATCCTAGTGCCAACTAGAGCCAATCGTTACTCAAATTACGCTGGGCAGAATTCTACTCACCTTTCTATAATTTTGATGGAGAACACTGAGGTTATTTTTATAGGCTTTTTTTAGAATTCAATTGATTTAAATTCTGATGTGGAAAATTCTGGGTTTTAAGCCTCCCACCCCCATTTTTATCAATTTAAA